GGGCGATCAGGAAGAGGGAGGGGCTTACACAGGGTATAGAGGAAGCCTGGGCGATCAGGAAGAGGGAGGGGCTTACACAGGGTATAGAGGAAGCCTAGGAGATCAGGAAGAGGGAGGGGCTTACACAGGGTATAGAGGAAGCCTAGGAGATCAGGAAGAGGGAGGGGCTTACACAGGGTGCAGAGGAAGCCTAGATGATCAGGAAGAGGGAGGCTGCAGCTGGTGTCTGAAAAGTCTGGGTGGTATTTTTTGGGTACCATCACCTGGATTAGGGGGTGCAGGTAAGTGGAGTGAGGCATACCTTATCACGCGGGACAGCGGCGGGAAGGTCCCTCATCCGGTTACGCCTCTGCTCCTGCAGCAAAGAGAGCATGGCGGAAAGATGGAGATGCGTGAAGTTGCGGAGAGGACCTGGCCATACACAAGGTAAAACAAAGCGGCTCTCAGCTTCCAGCTGATGCATTTTAATAATATTACTGTTACTTTCTCTGCTTGCATTTTAGCTCTTTTTGCACTTTAACTTTAGCACAACTGGAGTTTTAAATTTGCAGAGTCTACAAAACAGCAGTTCAGAACACATTTCACTGCGTGTTGTACTTTGTATAACTACGTATGTGACAATTAAAGAATCTTGAATCTTGTTATTAATGTTTTATGCATGGTAAAGAGCATTTTCTAATACTCAGATAAGGCAGCGACTATAGTAATCACTCTTTTTTTAACCGTCAAAACAAATTAAATGAATTACAAAGCAAACATCTTTTGATTGGAAAAGCAGGCTGTTTATGGCACAAATATTCACCTATATTCAATCCAAACAACTCCCCACAGGGGAAACTCGGGGTATCTCATAGTATACACACTACTCTGTGCCTAACCAGCGTCGCGTCCCCTCACCTCGATGTTACTGTTCATGAGCACGCAGGCATCAGCGAAGTCAGGGTGCTTGGTGTTGATATATGCAAGCTCAATGGCCACCAGGTTGTGTACCTGATGATACAATAGAGGACCAGGCCAAAGGTCAGCGTCACTGACCCCAGAAAGGTTAAGATACAACCACTTGCAGGATGTTAATATATAATAATAATAATTATAAGCAGCAACAGATGGGAAAATGAACACTGAACACCGAGGCTAAATTCTTCCGTTGATCTGAACTTTTCATTGAGAGTGTTATGAGTTAAATGACACTTGATTGGACAGCATAGCACTGTGCTGATGAGGAGTCGAGGGGGTCTGTGTCGATCAGGAGTTGAGGGGGTAGTGCAAAGATAGTCTACCATGTCGTTTGTGATGGGGAGTCGTTTTCTCAGCAGGGAGGTGACCACTTCTACGATGGCCTCGTGAAGTTTGGGGAACCTCAGCAGCTCCTGCAAAGGACCAAGACACATTAGAGCGCTTGAGCTTTCCATTAGAAGGGTAACGACACAGGAATTTACCCATCCCTTGATCACATGATTGGAGAAAGTGATGCACGCGCATGCGCTTGTATGTGTGTGTGTGCGTGCACTTGCGTACCTGTGTGCTGTAGTTGCTGCAGTGCTGGATGATCCTCTGCATCTCCTCATGCACCAGCTCCACGCACCGCAGGCTGGGCTCCTCTAGACGCTTCACCTGCCTCTTCACCAGCAGCTCGAAGGACACCTCTGGAACGAAGAGGGCGGGCCGCGGTCCCTGGTGGGGGACACAGTCGAGCCGTCATTCTGTCTTAGCAGGACATCATGAGGGGCTCCATTCAGGGCCCGATTTGTTGCTTCTAGGGCCCCCCTCCACTGTTGTAGTGACTGTTTCTAGTCACCAGGGGGCCCCCAAGAGAAAATACCACCGCAAGCTACATAAATGCCAATTCATACTTCACTGTTCGCCTTTGGTTGCAGACGTGGAGACGTGACGGAAATTTCGTCATCAGGAGGAGGCTGCAGACACCTGCATTCTGAACGCGTGTAGCATAGATGTTTATTTCCAGCAGAAACTTTGTGCATCCGTGCGCATCGACCATGTATGTGCAGGCGTGGATTTTCACAGATCAGTGGTCAACGATGAAAGAGTAGAGAAAGAACAGCTGTTGTTATTGTAGTTATGGTGAGCAGCTGAATGAGGAAAGCTGCAGGTACCCGCATACCTCCGTGTACCAGCAAACTGTCCAGGCATTATACCGAGGTATACGGTATTTTAAAACGCAGCACTATTCCGCCATTTTGAAATATAAAATTCGCTGAGCGGGTGGAGGAGGAGTTGGGGGTCCCAGCTAATTTTGTCATAAGGATTTGAGTAATAACTGTTCATGAAAGTTAACCCATTTCACTACACTGCTTGTATTTGTGTTTGTTGCAATACATCTGCCCTCTGCTGGTCTGGCGGATTATCACTGCTGTGTGAATGTACTGACCACAACCATCTGGGTCCACAGCCAAATGTAGTATGAGAACAAGCTTCCATGTGAACGACTGTCCGCAGCCCGCAAGCGCACGCGGAAAAGTGAAGTACAAAGTAGGCTTTAGAGTGGCCCTCTGTGACTCACTGTAGCATTCCTGATGGCTGTCAGCACGTCGATGGTGGTCAGTCCGCCCAGGGGGTCCACAGATTCCAGCGTTCGGCCAAACGTCTCATGAAAGATGTAACAGATGCGAGCTCCACCACACCTGAAAGAAAGCGAATGCCGTTGGGTCACCGAGGACATGATATGGAGCAAGCCAGGAAAAAACATGGCTAAGATTAAAAAAAAGAAAACGGAATCTTTATTTCTACACCAGAGAGACCTACTACACCTCAGTGGGCCAGAGATAATTGTGATAGGAAGGCGACCTCTAGAAAAATAATAATAATCTAGTACGTTCAATGCTCCCCATTTTACTGGCCAATCACAGTGCTCCCAATTCACTGGCCAATCACAGTGCTCCCAATTCACTGGCCAATCAGTGCTCCCATTTTACTGGCCAATCACAGTGCTCCCAATTCACTGGCCAATCACAGTGCTCCCAATTCACTGGCCAATCAGTGCTCCCATTTTACTGGCCAATCACAGTGCTCCCATTTTACTGGCCAATCACACTGCTCCTAATTTACTGGCCAATCACAGTGCTCCCAATTTACTGGCCAATCACAGTGCTCCCATTTTACTGGCCAATCACAGTGCTCCCATTTTACTGGCCAATCACAC